GTTGGATGGTTAGCTTCCCGTTGGGAGCGGCATGTTGTCAGTTTCCTTTTCAGTGAAGGGGAATGAAGGGTTGGAAAATGACTGGGTTCCAGGGGGTAAGCCACTCCCCTCCATGACTAAAGAGTCTACCGGCCTTGCCTTCGGAGAGGAGGAGCTATCCCAGGAGCATGGAGTTTGGAGGACTGCCCCACTCTGGACCACCAAAAAAGAGGCTTCACAGTAAGTGGAGACAAATCTTCCATTTTTTGAGACTTTGCCATGCAGCCCACTATTTGTCATCCTAACCTGCCTCACAGGTTTGTTGTGATGATGGGGGGGGGGATTGCATATACTGCCATGTGTGCTGTCCTGAGGAAAGACCTGGTCAAAAATGTAATAATTATGTACTTATTTAAAAAGGTATAAACCTTGTTTAAAAAGGTAGAAAACCTTTCTAAGACAGTTAACAGCTTAAGAGGAAATTATGAATCATGCTGTCAATTCAAATTCAACAGAAATTTTTAAAAATTGTAAGAAAGTCGTGAAGCCAGTTAAAATTCAGCAGAGCTTGTAATTAGAGGTGTGCACACACAAAAATTGGGATGTTTTGGATTTGGATATATTGGGCCTCAAAATATTCGGGATTCCCAGAAATACCTGAATTTCTATACCGATATGGTATTTGGATTCAGGTTTTTTTCGGAAATCCCAATTTTTCCCTGCTCCATACAACCATTATAGCCAATGGGGAATCTATCTGGGGGTATCCAGGGGTCTGGGGGGGCTGTTTTTTGATGTAGAGGCACCAGAATTTCATTGTAGCTTCTGTTCCCTCTTTTCAAAAGACCCCCCATGTTTCAAAACGATTGGACCAGGGGGTCCAATTCTGTGGGCCCCCAAAGGAGGTGCCTCCATACTCCATTGTTTCCAATGGTGGTGAAAAAAAGCTAAATAAAACAAGAACCAATGTCAGATCAGAGAGTCTCATGTAAACAAAAATGCTGTAAAAAAGGCTGCTGTCTTTACAATTGTGAATTAAATAAAATAATTATTTAATAATAAGTATGATTCTTTTGACTCTTATTTGTTACAAAGTCTCCTTACATCAATAATGACATCTGTAAAGTTTCCTTATTGTTAAAGGATTTTAAAGGAGATTTTTCCAAGCCCAGAAGAACCAGTGCATATACAGAGTGCCAAAAGAAGGTGCCCTCATCCTCCATTGTTTTCAATGGAGGGGAAAAAGAAAGCATTTAGAAGAAGGCACCAGGTTTTGCTGGGCACTAGTACATTGCACTGGTACTGCTCAGCACTCTGTACCTGCGGTGTCTATGCTGGGCATTGTCACAGTGGCATTGGTTCTGCTGGGCACTCTGTACATGCACTGGCTGTGCTAGGCTTGCAAAAAAAAAAAAACCATTGCCTCTTTAGGGCCAGGAAGCAGTTTTTCTTCAGGCCACTTTGGCCAGGGATCCTGGAGGTGTTGGGTTTTTTTCCCCATTTTCTGCACATGGAACAGGGGTCACTGGGGGTGTGGGACAGAGGTATTTGTGAATTTCCTACAGTGTGGAATTGGTTGGACTAGATGACCCTGGAGGTCCCTTCCAACTCTATGATTCTATGATTTGTTGAGCTAGCATTGCCACAGTGGCACTGGTTCTGCAAAAATGCACCTCCAGTCTTCAGAGACACTCTGGTTTGGCATCAGTACCTGCTTTTTTGATGTTTTTTCCCTCCATTGTAAATAATGGAGGATAGAAGAACTTCTTGGGGGCCCATAGAATTGGACCCCCGGGGTTCAATCTTTTTGAAACATGGAGGGTCTTTTGAGTAGAGGCACCAGAAGCTATGCTGAAAATTTAGTGCCTCTAACACAGAAAACAACCCCCCCAGACACCCGCATACCCCCAGATAGATTCTACATTATAGCTTACTAGAAAAAAGGCTCGTTGTGGAAATAAATACAACGAACTCTAGAAAGAGGCTCTGGGTGGGTGCACCGGCCTTGAACACTCAGTGTCAATTTGCTGTGGTGACCTCAGCAGGGTATAATGACATTGAGTCCACCATTTTCTCCAGAGGAACTGATCTCTGCTACCTAAAGAACACTTGTAATTTTGAATGATCTCCAGCCCTCACCTGGAGATTGGCAAAGATGGTTCCTCAGAAGGGAATGGTTAGTTTGGAGGGTGGAGTCTATGGCTTTGTACCTGACCGAGGTCCCACGCCTCTTGAAAACTCACCCTCTCCAGGCTCCATCCCTGACATCTCCGGAATTTCCCACCTGGAGTTGGGAACCCTATCTCCTTCCCAGCCAATCATCAACCTACCTTTATTTCCCCCTCACTCTTCAGCTTTCCACCCCCCACACACCTGCAGCCTCTCCCGTGCTCTGAAGCCCTGACTGCTACGTCACATTGGCTGTCATACGGAGCCCACCTCAGCAGCATATAAGGATACAGAGCCGGGCCATCTGGAAAGCAGTTGTAATTCTGAGTGATCTCCAGCCTTCACCTGGAGATTGGACACATTTTATCTCAGAACAGCAAACTGTTTAGAATGTTAGAGGCAAAAGCCAATCAAGTTGCATATGCAAACGACTTCTGTGTTACGAGGCAAAGGTCAATGAGGCTGCATATGCAAATAACCTCTGTGTTCTGACTGGCTATGGGGGGAGAGGAACAGCAAACTGTTTAGAATGTTGGAGG